TGTGCTGCCACTCTAGTTCACTGTACCATCACTACTGTGGTGTGCTGCCACTCTAATTCACTGTACCATCACTACTGTGGTGTTGTGCTGCCACTCTCACTTCACTGTACCATCACTACTGTGGTGTGTGCTGCCACTCTAGTTCACTGTACCATCACCATCACTACTGTGGTGTTGTGCTGCCACTCTAGTTCACTGTACCATCACCATCACTACTGTGGTGTTGTGCTGCCACTCTAGTTCACTGTACCACCACCATCACTACTGTGGTGTTGTGCTGCCACTCTAGTTCACTGTACCACCACCATCACTACTGTGGTGTTGTGCTGCCACTCTTGTTCACTGTACCATCACTACTGTGGTGTGCTGCCACTCAAGTTCACTGTACCATCACCACCACTACTGTGGTGTTGTGCTGCCACTCTAGTTCACTGTACCATCACCATAACTACTGTGGTGTTGTACTGCCACTCTAGTTCACTGTACCACCACCATCACTACTGTGGTGTTGTCTCACTGTCACCATCACCATCACTGCCACTGTGGTGTTGTGCTGCCACTTAGTTCACTGTACAATCACCATCACTACTGTGGTGTTGTGCTGCCACTTTAGTTCACTGTACCATCATCATCACTACTGTGGTGTTGTGCTGTCACTCTAGTTCACTGTACCACCACTATCACTACTGTGGTGTTGTGCTGCCACTCCAGTTCACTGTACCACCACCATCACTACTGTGGTGTTGTGCTGCCACTCTAGTTCACTGTACCATCACCATCACTACTGTGGTGTTGTGCTGCCACTCCAGTTCACTGTACCACCACCATCACTACTGTGGTGTTGTGCTGCTACTCTAGTTCACTGTACCATCACCACTACTGTGGTGTTGTGCTGCCACTCTAGTTCACTGTACCACCACCATCACTACTGTGGTGTTGTGCTGCCACTCCAGTTCACTGTACCATCACTACTGTGGTGTTGTGCTGCCACTCACTCACTGTACCATCACTACTGTGGTGTGCTGCCACTTTAGTTCACTGTACCATCACTACTGTGGGTTGTGCTGCCACTCTAGTTCACTGTACCATCACCATCACTACTGTGGTGTTGTGCTGCCACTCTAGTTCACTGTACCACCACCATCACTACTGTGGTGTTGTGCTGCCACTCTAGTTCACTGTACCACCACCATCACTACTGTGGTGTTGTGCTGCCACTCTAGTTCACTGTACCACCACCATCACTACTGTGGTGTTGTGCTGCCACTTTAGTTCACTGTACCATCACCATCACTACTGTGGTGTTGTGCTGCCACTCTAGTTCACTGTACCATCACTATCACCATCACTAGTGTGGTGTTGTGCTGCCACTCTAGTTCACTGTACCACCACCATCACTACTGTGGTGTTGTGCTGCCACTCTAGTTCACTGTACCACCACCATCACTACTGTGGTGTTGTGCTGCCACTCTAGATCACTGTACCACCAGCATCACTACTGCGGTGTTGTGCTGCCACTCTAGTTCACTGTACCACCACCATCACTACTGTGGTGTTGTGCTGCCACTCTAGTTCACTGTCACCATCACTACTGTGGTGTTGTGCTGCCACTCTACTTCACTGTACCACCACCATCATTACTGTGGTGTTGATCTGCCTCTCTAGTTCACTGTACCTCCACCACCACAACTACTGTGGTCTTGCGCTGCTACTCTAGTTCACTGTACCACCACCATCACTACTGTGGTGTTGTGCTGCCACTGTTGTTCACCATACCACCACTACTATTGTGGTGTTGTGCTGCCACTCTAGTTCACTGTACCATCACCATCACTAGTGTAGGAGTTGTGCTGCCACTCTAGTTCACTGTACCACCACCATCACTACTGTTGTGTTGTGCTGCCACTTTAGTTCACTGTACCATCACCATCACTACTGTGGTGTTGTGCTGCCACTCTAGTTCACTGTACCACAACCATCACTACTGTGGTGTTGTGCTGCCACTCTAGTTCACTGTACCACCACCATCACTACTGTGGTGTTGTGCTGCCACTGTTGTTCACTGTACCATCACCACCACTATTGTGGTGTTGTGCTGCCACTCTAGTTCACTGTACCATCACCATCACTAGTGTGGTGTTGTGCTGCCACTCTAGTACACTGTACCACCACCATCACTACTGTTGTGTTGTGCTGCCACTTTAGTTCACTGTACCATCACCATCACTACTGTGGTGTTGTGCTGCCACTCTAGTTCACTGTACCACCACCATCACTACTGTGGTGTTGTGCTGCCACTCTAGTTCACTGTACCATCACTATCACCATCACTACTGTGATGTTGTGCTGCCACTCTAGTTCACTGTACCATCACCATCACTACTGTGGTGTTGTGCTGCCACTCTAGTTCACTGTACCACCACCATCACTACTGTGGTGTTGTGCTGCCACTCTAGTTCACTGTACCACCTATCTAGATCACCATCACTACTGTGGTGTTGTGCTGCCACTCTAGTTCACTGTACCATCACCATCACTACTGTGGTGTTGTGCGGCCACTCTAGTTCACTGTACCATCACCATCACTACTGTGGTGTTGTGCTGCCACTCTAGTTCACTGTACCACCACCAACACTACTGTGGTGTTGTGCTGCCACTCTAGTTCACTGTACCCACCATCACTATCACTACTGTGGTGTTGTGCTGCCACTCTAGTTCACTGTACCATCACCATCACTACTGTGGTGTTGTGCTGCCACTCTAGTTCACTGTACCACCACCATCACTACTGTGGTGTTGTGCTGCCACTCTAGTTCACTGTACCACCACCATCACTACTGTGGTGTTGTGCTGCCACTCTAATTCACTGTACCATCACCATCACTACTGTGTTGTGGTGTTGTGCTGCCACTACTGTAGTTCACTGTACCATCACCATCACTACTGTGGTGTTGTGCTGCCACTCTAGTTCACTGTACCATCACCATCACCATCACTACTGTGGTGTTGTGCTGCCACTCTAGTTCACTGTACCACCACCATCACTACTGTGGTGTTGTGCTGCCACTCTAGTTCACTGTACCACCACCATCACTACTGTGGTGTTGTGCTGCCACTCTAGTTCACTGTACCACCACCATCACTACTGTGGTGTTGTGCTGCCACTCTAGTTCACTGTACCATCACACCACCATCACTACTGTGGTGTTGTGCTGCCACTAGTTCACTGTGCACCACCACCATCACTACTGTGGTGTTGTGCTGCCAATCTACTTCACTGTCACCATCTACTGCTGCAACTCTAATTCACTATACCATCACTACTGTGGTGTTGTGCTGCCACTATAGTTCACTGTACCCCCACCATCACTACTGTGGTGTTGTGCTGCCACTCTAGTTCACTGTACCCACCACCATCACTACTGTGGTGTTGTGCTGCCACTCTAGTTCACTGTACCATCACCATCACTACTGTGGTGTTGTGCTGCCACTCTAGTTCACTGTACCATCACCATCACTACTGTGGTGTTGTGCTGCCACTCTAGTTCACTGTACCACCACCATCACTACTGTGGTGTTGTGCTGCCACTCTAGTTCACTGTACCACCACCATCACTACTGTGGTGTTGTGCTGCCACTGTCATCACCATTCACTGTACCATCACTATCACCATCACTACTGTGGTGTTGTGCTGCAACTCTAATTCACTGTACCACCACCATCACTACTGTGGTGTTGTGCTGCCACTCTAGTTCACTGTACCCCCACCATCACTACTGTGGTGATGTGCTGCCACTCTAGTTCACTGTACCATCACTATCACCATCACTACTGTGGTGTTGTGCTGCCACTCTAGTTCACTGTACCATCACCATCACTACTGTGGTGTTGTGCTGCCACTCTAGTTCACTGTACCACCACCATCACTACTGTGGTGTTGTGCTGCCACTCTAGTTCACTATACCATCACTATCACCATCACTACTGTGGTGTTGTGCTGCCACTCTAGTTCATTGTACCACCACCATCACTACTGTGGTGTTGTGCTGCCACTCTAGTTCACTGTACCACCACCATCACTACTGTGGTGTTGTGCTGCCACTCTACTTCACTGTACCATCACTACTGTGGTGTTGTGCTGCCACTCTAGTTCACTGTACCACCACCATCACTACTGTGGTGTTGTGCTGCCACTCTAGTTCACTGTATCACCACCATCACTACTGTGGTGTTGTGCTGCCACTCTAGTTCACTGTACCATCACCATCACTACTGTGGTGTTGTGCTGCCACTCTAGTTCACTGTACCACCACCATCACTACTGTGGTGTTGTGCTGCCACTCTAGTTCACTGTACCATCACTACTGTGATGTTGTGCTGCCACTCTAATTCACTGTACCATCACCATCACTACTGTGGTGTTGTGCTGCCACTCTAGTTCACTGTACCATCACCATCACTACTGTGGTGTTGTGCTCCCACTCTAGTTCACTGTACCATCACCATCACTACTGTTGTGCTGCCACTTTAGCTGCCACTACTGTAGTGTTGTGCTCACTCTAGTTCACTGTACCATCACTACTGTGGTGTTGTGCTGCCTCTCTATTTCACTGTACCACCACCATCACTACTGTGGTGTTGTGCTGCCACTGTAGTTCACTGTACCATCACTACTGTGGTGTTGTGCTGCCACTCTAGTTCACTGTACCACCACTATCACTACTATGGTGTTATGCTGCAACTCTAATTCACTGTACCATCACTACTGTGGTGTTGTGCTGCCACTCTAATTCACTGTACCATCACCATCACTACTGTGGTGTTGTGCTGCCACACTAGTTCACTGTACCACCACTATCACTGCTGTGGTGTTGTGCTGCCACTCTAGTTCACTGTACCATCACCATCACTACTGTGGTGTTGTGCTGCCACTCTAGTTCACTGTACCACCACCATCACTACTGTGGTGTTGTGCTGCCACTCTAGTTCACTATACCACTACCATCACTACTGTGGTGTTGTGCTGCCACTCTAGTTCACTGTACCATCACCATCACTACTGTGGTGTTGTGCTGCCACTCTAGTTCACTGTACCTCAACCACCATCACTACTGTGGTGTTGTGCTGCCACTTTAGTTCACTGTACCACCACCATCATTTCTGTGGTGTCTGTGGTGTTGTGCTGCCACTCTAGTTCACTGTACCACCACCATCACTACTGTGGTGTTGTGCTGCCACTCTAGTTCACTGTACCACCAGCATCATGACTGTGGTGTTGTGCTGCCACTCTAGTTCACTGTACCATCACTACTGTGGTGTTGTGATGCCACTCTAGTTCACTGTACCACCACCATCACTACTGTGGTGTTGTGCTGCCACTCTACTTCACTGTACCACCACCATCATTACTGTGGTCTTGCGCTGCTACTCTAGTTCACTGTACCTCCACCATCACTACTGTGGTGTTGTGCTGCCACTGTTGTTCACCGTACCACCACCACTATTGTGGTGTTGTGCTGCCACTCTAGTTCACTGTACCATCACCATCACTAGTGTGTTGTTGTGCTGCCACTCTAGTTCATTGTACCACCACCATCACTACTGTTGTGTTGTGCTGCCACTTTAGTTCACTGTACCATCACCATCACTACTGTGGTGTTGTGCTGCCACTCTTGTTCACTGTACTACTATCATCACTACTGTGGTGTTGTGCTGCCACTCTAGTTCACTGTACCATCACTACTATGGTGTTGTGCTGCCTCTCTAGTTCACTGTACCCCCACCATCACTACTGTGGTGTTGTGCTGCCACTCTAGTTCACTGTACCACAACCATCATTACTGTGGTGTTGTGTTGCCACTCTAGTTCACTGTACCACCACCATCACTACTGTGGTGTTGTGCTGCCACTCTACTTCACTGTACCATCACTATCACCATCACTACTGTGATGTTGTGCTGCAACTCTAATTCACTATACCATCACCATCACTACTGTGGTGTTGTGCTGCCACTATAGTTCACTGTACCCCCATCATCACTACTGTGGTGTTGTGCTGCCACTCTAGTTCACTATACCATCACTATCACCATCACTACTGTGGTGTTGTGCTGCCACTCTAGTTCACTGTACCACCACCATCACTACTGTGGTGTTGTGCTGCCACTCTAGTTCAATGTACCATCACCATCACTACTGTGGTGTTGTGCGGCCACTCTAGTTCACTATACATCGCCATCACTACTGTGGTGTTGTGCTCCCACTCTTGTTCACTGTACCACCACCATCACTACTGTGGTGTTGTGCTGCCACTCTAGTTCACCATACCATCACCATCACTACTGTGGTGTTGTGCTGCCACTCTAGTTCACTGTACCACCTCCATCACTACTGTGGTGTTGTGCTGCCACTCTAGTTCACTGTACCACCACCATCACTACTGTGGTGTTGTGCTGCCACTAATTCACTGTACCATCACCATCACTACTGTATTGTTGTGCTGCCACTTTAGTTCACTGTACCATCACCATCACTACTGTGGTGTTGTGCTGCCACTCTAGTTCACTGTACCATCACCATCACTACTGTGGTGTTGTGCTGTCACTCTAGTTCACTGTACCACCACCATCACTACTGTGGTGTTGTGCTGCCACTCTAGTTCACTGTACCACCACCATCATTACTGTGGTGTTGTGCTGCCACTCTAGTTCACTGTACCACCACCATCACTACTGTGGTGTTGTGCTGCCACTCTAGTTCACTGTACCACCACCATCACTACTGTGGTGTTGTGCTGCCACTCTAGTTCACTGTACCTCAACCATCATCACTACTGTGGTGTTGTTCTGCCACTCTAGTTCACTGTACCACCACCATCACTACTGTGGTGTTGTGCTGCCACTCTAGTTCACTATACCACCACCATCACTACTGTGGTGTTGTGCTGCCACTCTAGTTCACTGTACCACCACCATCACTACTGTGGTGTTGTGCTGCCACTCTAGTTCACTGTACCTCAACCACCATCACTACTGTGGTGTTGTGCTGCCACTCTAGTTCACTGTACCACCACCATCACTACTGTGGTGTTGTGCTGCCACTCTAGTTCACTGTACCACCACCATCACTACTGTGGTGTTGTGCTGCCACTCTAGTTCACTGTACCACCACCATCACTACTGTGGTGTTGTGCTGCCACTCTAGTTCACTGTACCACCACCATCACTATTGTGGTGTTGTGCTGCCACTCTAGTTCACCGTACCTCAACCACCATCACTACTGTGGTGTTGTGCTGCCACTCTAGTTCACTGTACCACCACCATCACTACTGTGGTGTTGTGCTGCCACTCTAGTTCACTATACCACCACCATCACTACTGTGGTGTTGTGCTGCCACTCTAGTTCACTGTACCACCACCATCACTACTGTGGTGTTGTGCTGCCACTCTAGTTCACTGTACCACCACCATCACTACTGTGGTGTTGTGCTGTGTTACGAACCCGGATCCAGCGTCCGAGCACGGAGCAGTGACGACCGCGCCATCTGTGGGTCAGCTCCCGAAACCCCCACCAAATGGACGACGACACCTGGTGAGGACGATGTGTACTGGCTACGAGGGCCAGTTTCCAGTCCCGTTCAGCACACAACACCGCCGCTGCTGACCTCTGGTGAGGTGGTGCTCGGACGACAACGCCATCTATGGAGTGGATATGTCGGGCGTTTGTGTCTGAGCCTGTAAGTGTGGTGCTTTAGTGTCCCTGTTATTGATGACGTGTCTGCTTACAGAGTCGACCTGGGACTGCTGTGATGGAAGTTGAGTCAGTCTACCCGAGGCAGCCGTCCCCTTACCTTGTGCCTTGCTGCAGCAGCTGTGAAGTCGTCTCCTGGAAGAACACTGTGGTGTGTTACCCTGCCAGCGTAGTGGCAGTAGAAGGATTGTCTTACCTGGGACCGACTGCTGGAGACGGTTATCCACTGGGGTTTTGAGGACAGGAGAGTGATTTGTGGTATCACACGAGGCTCCTGACTAGGGCGCTACCCTAGTATCGTTCGTGGAGTGGCCTGACCAGCGTGGCTGATCCAGAACCTGCCAGTAGACCTGCTGGGCTTGTGGTTGACGGCCTCCACGGCGGTGCCCCCAGTGGACCCGTGTTTTGGCTGGCCTGTGTTTGGGGTAGACTCAGCTTGGTCGAAGGATTCGTCAAGAGACCACGAAAGCACCGAGGACCCAGCACCGAGAAATTTGGATCCAGAGTCTTCAGGAGAAGACGTTTGTGTACAGTGTTAATACCCCTCCCCCCTGTGTAATCTTTTATATATTATTTATTGGTGGTGGTCAATATATTATATTAAGTTCTTGACTTCATTTCCCTTCCCCTTTAAGTTACTTGCGTCACGGATCTCTTCCCTTGAAAGCCACTACTGGCTTGGGGCCGGATACAACTTCCTCTAACAACATCAGAGTAAGAACCCCGTTGCGTCCCGAGAGGGCCGTATAACATAATTGGCATCCCCAGCGGGATCCGTCCCCTTCTTAAGTATGTTTGACAGGGGTGGTGAAGTGACGTAATCCCTGTATATAATTCCCCCTGTGTGTGACGATTGGGACGTTATGCGTCCTGTGCGGTGCTCAAGAGTGACTAAGTGCGATATTGTGCAGTGCGGTGCTCGCTGTGATTAAGCGATTAAGTGCAATATTGTGTAGTGCGGTGCTCGTCGTGATTAAGTGCAATATTGTAGAACGAAGTGTTCGCTGTGATTCAGTGCAATATTGGGTAGTGCGGTGCCCGAAGCAATTACGTGCAATATTGGCAAGTGAGGTGCCAGGTGCGATAAAGTGCAATATTGGCGTAGAACAGTGCTCGGTGCGTTAAGTGCTAACTTGTAAGCAGTGTGTTAAGTGTTGAGTGTTCCATCTGTGACAATGGCAGAAAAAGCTACCATCGATGATCTGGACGATGTTCAGGCTTTTCTGAACAGAGAGGACTGTCTTGCCAGATTAAAATATCTGAACAAACAGGAACTAGTACTAGTGAGCGCCTACCTGGAGATCAAGATCCGTGCCAGTGATTCCCGTGTGGAGATCTTGTCCAAGGTTCACCGGCACTTGAAGGCAGAAGAGAAACAGGAAGGCGAGACTCCTAGTACAAAGGAAAGTGAAGAAATAGCTTCCACGGAAAAGGAAGATAAAGGTAGTGACATTGACAGTGATGCAGGTGAGCTGAATATAAGCTTGTTAACTGTCAAAATGCGTGCCTTGGAAATTAATCGAGAAATTGAATGGAAGAAGTTAGAAATAGAACGAGAATTAAAAGATAAAGAAATGGAGATGAAAGAAAAAGAATTGGCGATGAGGCGTTTAGAATTAGAAAGAGAAGAGAAACGAGTGAGAGAAGAGCGAGAAAGAGAAGAGAAACGAGAAAGAGAAGAGCGAGAAAGAGAAGAGAAACGAGAAAGGGAAGAACGAGAGAGAGAAGAGAAACGAGAAAGAGAAGAACGAGAAAGAGAAGAGAAACAGCGAGAGAGAGAAGAAAAAGAAAGACAGAGACAACATGAACTAGAAGTATTGCGATTAGGCGGTGGTCGGAGGCTAACAACGGACACCAGCGGTTTCGATCCGGTAAGAAACATCAAAATGGTCCCCAAATTCAATGAGAGGGAAGTTTCGAAGTTCTTTGCAGCCTTCGAGAAAGTCGCTGCCTCTTTGGAGTGGCCAAGGGAGAATTGGGCCATCATGTATTATAGACTGTTGGTTGGTTGGTGTTGTCGTCGTGGTTCCTCCTTTGCAGACAACCCAACCCACAACTCGGTAGAGTGCTTATACCTCGCTAGGAGATCACACTAGGCGCTTCTGGCCCTTGGAGAGGGGCTCAACGTCACACATTTAGGGGATGCGGCTCCAACACTTAGCCTCGTTGTCACGTGCACACACCCACTCGAGCCGCTGTGACTCCCCACTCTCTCCTTAGGTGGTATGATCTCCTCAATCCCCTATGACTTACTAATATTACCTTCTGCCCTGTCCACAGCAGTGGTTTTTGGTTCTTTCCCTCTCTCTCTCTTCTTCTGTACTATTTCATGGGAAGCCTCACT